TCCCTCCCATACAGGTCTTGTACAATTATTAGTTGAATGATCAACAAATGATTGGAGTCCAGTGGTTATGTGTGTAAGATTTGCAGACAGAGAGCTTGGATTCAAATCATGGCTCACTTGTGTGAGCTTGGGAAAAATTACTAAATTAATTAAACTTCTCTGTGCCTTGTAGCTTTCATTTGTGAAGTGAGGATATAAATACACTCCAGCTCACAGGTTGCTGTGGGGTTCAAATTAGGTGATACATGCACACTGCTTAGCACAATGTCCCATGTAGGGTAAGAACCCAAGCCGGGCGCTGTGGTTCACGTCTGTAATCCCAGCACGTTGGGAGGCCAAGGCAGGTGGACCACAAGGTCAGGAGTTTGAGACCAGCCTGACCAACATGGTGAAACCCCATCTCTACTAAAAATACAAAAAATAGCTGGGTGTGGTGGCAGGTGCCTGTAATCCCAGATACTCGGGAGGTTGAGGCAGAATAGTTTGAACCTGGGAGGCGGAGGTTGCAGTGAGCTGAGATGGCGCCATTGCACTCTAGCCGTGGTGGCACAGCAAGACTCTGTCTCAAAAAAAAAAAAAAAAAAAAAAGAACCAAAGAAAGCATGAAGACTGCCTCTTGGACTTGAGGCTAAGAGCAAGCAAAGGCTAGCATGGAGGCCATTAAGACATGGTATCTGGGGCGACTGCTCTTACCCACCCCTGTGAAGTTCAGTAGGGCCTTGTGACTTGCTCCATCCAATGAAATGTATGTAGCAGTCATATGTGAAGCTTTGTAGGTAAGAAGTCTTGGCCTGGCCTTGTGCCCTTCCCCTTCAGAGGAACCTGTGGAAGCATGGGTTGAGATGGCACCTGGGTCCCCAAGTGACTATGATGAGCAAAGTCCCCTGCTTTCTTGCACTGCAGATGTGATGGGAGCAAGAAATAAACTTCTTTGGAGGGTAAGCTCTAAAACGTTTGGTTGGTTTGTTACTGCATCATAGCCTGACTTCTCCTGGTTAATACAACCATTTATAATTATCCCCAATTTAGGATGCAGGCATCCAAGCAGAATCCTTTTTATGCCAGATTCACATAGCTTCTTTTCTGGGAAGAGGCAGCATGAAAACATGGACAGAGCTCAGGCTTTTGTACAATAGGCTTGGATTTGAATCCTATCTGGCCACTTTCCAGCTCAGCATTCATTACCTTTTTTTTTTTTTTTTTTTTTTTTTTTTTTTTTTTCTTTTTTTTTTTTTTTTTTTTTTTTTTTTTTTTTTTTTTTTTTTTTGATGGAGACAGTATCTCACTCTGCCACCCAGGCTAAAGTACAGTGGCATGATCTCAGCTCACTGCAACCTCCACCTCCTGGATTCAAGCAATTCTCATGCCTCAGCCTCCCAAGTGGCTGGGATTACAAGCATGTGCCACCACGCCCAGATAATTTTTGTATTTTTAGTAGAGACGGGGTTTCTCCATTTCCAGGCTGGTTTCAAACTCCTGACCTCAATTAATCCTCCCACCTTGGCCTTCCAAAATGCTGGGATTACAGGTGTGAGCCACCACACCTGGCCTCATTATTACCTCTTTCCCAAGGATCCTTGCTCTTCTCCAGTTGGCCCTACCGCATGAGGCTCCCCTGAGAGCAGCAGGTGCATCCTCCTTCGCTCCGTCAGGCCTGCGGATGGCAAAGGCTCTTCTGCTGCTAGCCCTGTGTTCCTGTTCTGTCCTGCCTCACACTGCCCACAACCAACTTGAGTTATTCCATCTTCAGTGTGCCATCGTGTTTCTGCCTGGGCCCAGTGACAACGCAGTCTTGCTTCCCTGGGCCATTAGCTTCCTCTGCTCATAGAGAGTGGCCTGGCCACCTCTTCATGCCTCATCTTTCCAGCTGTGTGATAGGTAAGCTCCTAAAGGCAGAACTCTCTGTTCTTTCCTGGATGCCCAGAGCGGACTGGCGCGTTCTCCTCTGGTTGCACAAATGGAGCTGTTTACATTGCATAAAGATGCCCAGCCTCTGATCTGTATCCAGATCTCTGGGTGGGTATAAAGCTGAGTGAGCAGAGAGGGTCGAGAAGCAACAGAAAAGATGGTTGGTAGCCATGTGTTCACGAGGCCGGGAGGTACCAGGGTCCTGTTACTTATATTATGATCACATGAGAAGCTTGATTTTGGATGTGGTCACTTCCATGCATACATACTTAGTATGGACATGTATGTATGACTGTGCATGGGTGTGTACAAGTGTGCACCTGAGCAGGCTGAAAGGTCTGTCTTATAGAAAGACTGCTCCCTGCTTCTTCTGAGCCTTCATTTATACTGATCTCTCAGTAAACAGAAGAGTAACCCTCTCCCCTTCTGTCCTTGTAACTCTCCCCATCTCTCAAGACTCACCATTTCAGCCCTAAACCATTGTGTGTAGCACACAGAGGGGGATAAAGACCCTTTTTTAATCTTCTGTTGGTTCATATATAACACTACAAACTTTCTCTCTAGAAATACATTTCAAGAGCTGGGACTATGTTTTAAGCTTCCTCTTTCTTTTTTCTTCTTCTCTTTTACTGTTTATCGGTGGCCTCATCTATGCCAGGGAGCTTGCAGGGTGTTTTTTTGTATGTCTGGCCATTAATCTTTAAAACTACCCCATGAGATAAATAGCATTATCACCATTTTACTGATAAACAAGGCTCAGGGGAGGGAGAGTTAAACAACTAGTTCAAATGGCACTACTGGGTTTTCAGGGGAGGTCTAACTCCAAATCCTTTGCTGTAAGTCAGTAGTTTTCAAACTTTGGTGTCGGGATTCCTTTACACTCTTTTTGTTGAGATAGAGCTTCGCTCTTGTTGCCTAGGCTGGAGTAAAATGGTGTGATCTTGGCTCACTGCAACCTCCACCTCCTGGGCTCAGGCGATTCTCCTGCCTCAGATTCCAAAGTAGCTGGGATTACAGGTACCCACCACCATGTCCAGCTAATTTTTGGTATTTTTAGTAGAGATGGGGTTTCACTATGTTGACCGTGGCTGGCCTTGAACTCCTTGACCTCAGGTGATCCACCCACCTCAGCCTCCCAAAGTGCTGGGATTATTAGCCACCACACCTGGCCTACACTCTTTAAAATTATTGGGAACTCCTAAAATCTTTTGTAATGTGGGTTATATCTGTTAATATTTATTATATTGGAAATTAAAACTGAGGAAAAAACTTAAAAGTATTTATTTCACATAAAATAGCAATAATAAACCCATCACATATTAACACATGTAACTTTTAGAGTAAAAATTAAGTATATTTTCCCAAAGGAAAGTGAAAAGTGGCATATAACTTTTTTTTTTTTTTTTTTTTACGTGTTGCAATACTCTTTATTGTCTGTCTTAATAGAAAACAGCTGGATTCTTATATCTGCTTATGCATTTGATCTCTTGTGGTACTACATATCATGTAGACTCTGGAAAACTCTACTGTACACGTTGGAGAGAATGAGAGTGAAAAAAGCAAAGAACTTAGTGTTGTTATGAAAATTGTTTTGTACTCATAACCCCCTGAAAAAGTTTCGGGGTCCTCCAGCTGTGCCCAGGCAATGCTTTGAGAACCACTGCTCTGCGTTCCTAAGCTTTGTCTTCTCTTTGCATTTTCCTATCATTTTCCATTATTGTTATTATTATTTTTGAGACAGAGTCTTGCTCTGTCACCCAGGCTGGAGTACAATGGCACAATTGCGGCTCACTGCAACCTCTGCCTCCAGGGTTCAAGTGATTCTCATGCCTCAGCCTCCTGAGTAGCTGGGATTACAGGCACGCGCCACCATGCCTGGCTAATTTTTTTTTTTTTTTTTTGGATTTTTAGTACAGATGGAGTTTTGCCATGTTGGTCAGGCTGGTTTCAAACTCCTGACCTCAAGTGATCTGCCCACCTTGGCCTCCTACAGTGCTGGAATTCTAGGCCACATTGCCCATTTTGCAGCATTCTCGTCTGTCCTCTTGGGTGCAACCCGGACTTCATGTGTGCCTGTTCATTGACGAGCAGATGAGGATTCCATGGTTCTGCCACAAGGATCCTGGAGAGAGGCTTCCTGATGCTGCAGTGAATACTCTGTATTCTCTGTACTATACAAGGGACATGGGTGTACCGGATGTTCCTAATTTGGCCTTGTGAGACTTTGTGAACTCAGCTCTGTGATGAACCAATGTTCCTAATAAATCAACACCATTTATTTTCAGGGGAAAAAAGAGAAAACTACATAAATTTCTCTAGCAAATTGGAGATAAGCAAATACCCCTGCCAGTTTGGGGAGAGGGAGGGATGAGTGGGTGGAGCATGGGGGATTTTTAGGGCAGGGAAACTATTTGGTGTGATTCTGCAATGGTGGATACACATCATTACACATTTGTTGAAACTCACAGAATGTGCAGCAGCAAGAGTGAACCATAATGTAAACTATGGACTTTAGTTAATAACAATGAACCAATACTGGCGTATCAGTTGCAACAAATGTATCACACTAATGCAAGGTTTAATTATAGGGGGAAATGAGGGTATGCAAGGGAGTGTACAGAAATTCTCTGTATTTTCCAATTATTTTTCTGCTCTTAAAAAATAGCTCTTAAAAACCCTCCAAAATCATTGGGTTAAAAAAAAAAAAAAGAGTCCCCCTGCCAACCTGGGCCTTAGCCAGAGACCTTCTGTGGTTTGGGCTGGTCCAACCGAGACCTCTGAGCTCTAATCCTGCCTGTACCGCTCTACTGGGAAACCAGACCCACGCACAGTCATTACCCCAGACAAGACATTTTCTTGGGAGTTTTCTCCCATCGACTTTAGCTCCCAAAAGTCTACAGTAGCACAAACTAGGATTTGGAGGGTGTAATTCTGTGGGGAGACTAGTAATTAGAGGATTGTTTAAAAGGCTGCCAGCGTTGCTTAATGAGTTGAGAACTATCCATGCATCATCACAGGGATAATGGGCTGTCTAACGCACGTGGGACAGGAACAATGCTTGCCACTTTCTGCAGCCGAGGAATCTCCTGGAGTGAGGTCTGGGAGGGGGCCCAGCTCTTCTGTCCAGGCTACTGGAGACTTCCTTTGGCTGGGAACTCCAGGGGACCATGTTTGGTGACGGTGGGTTGGTGGGAAGATGTGGCAGGCTGGTGACTGTGGGTTGGGTGGGAAGGTGTGGCAGGCTGGTGACGGAGGGTTGGTAGGGAGATGTGGCACACTGGTGACGGTGGGTTGGTGGGAAGGTGCGGCAGGCTGGTGACGGTGGGTTGGTGGGAAAGTGTGGCAGGCTGGTGACGGTGGGTTGGTGGGAAAGTGTGGCAGGCTGGTGACGGTGGGTTGGTGGGAAGGTGTGGCAGGCTGGTGACGGTGGGTTGGTGGGAAGGTGTGGCAGGCTGGTGACGGTGGGT